TTTCCCTAATGTCTACCATCCTCTTCACCATGCGGGTCACACTTAACGTGGTCCATTTTGTGTATGGGAAAATCTGACCTAGTTCAGCTTGTTGAGTTCAGTCGGAATCTGGGTTTGTTCCTGAGTTTTATATAATTGTTATACCCAGGCCTCGGATGACATGAATTTGACCCTATGCTCGTACAGTACCAGGTTAAGTTAAATCAATCCAACTTACTAAATTAATCCTCTGGAAAGCCTCAGGGACAGTCTTTATGATTTTCCTCATTAGAGAAAATCATATTCACCTTCACTCATTCCACCAACAATTTAAATGTCTTCTAAGTTTCTAAAACTGTCACCAGAGATTGTCATCAGCCAGCAGTGTTTATATTTAAAAGTAGAGAATAAAAAAATGGAATAAGGAATAAATTCCCTAGCCTTAGGTAGACATTTATACTTTTCTCCTGTTTCTGGTCTATCTTGAATTTCATCCCAGCCCTAGTGTTTCATTTTCCAGAGGAACTTTTCAGAGTAATACATATTAATGGCTTGAACAAAATAAAAAGCATATGATATAAGAGCATGTAAGTAACAGAACTGGCATTGGCCAGCAACACCATTATACATTTGAAGAGAGGATGTGTATGTAGAGTTTCACATGCACTTACCCATGTGTACACCTATCTCTATGTGGATGTTAGTTCTGCTGCCACTTAGCTATTAGCACCATTTTTAAATAGCACCATTCTGCTGAATGGATAGATAATTAAAGGGAGATATGGGATATTGTGCTCTGTAATGAATATTATGTGTACCTGTGCATGAGGTTGAAAATATACTGCCCATTGCATGAAGGTCACAACTCTGCCTTCCCCCTGTCAAGAATTGGTTTGGAGGTCCTCTCTCTTTGGGTTCAGTTCATGTAAATATCTCCCTTTAAAAATCAGCTTACCTGGAAATATGCTCTGAATTTGAGATTATTCCTGCCTTGACTTTCGGTGAGTAGTAGATACATCCAGAATAAGAATTCTAACTTTCATTTCAGGTTTTTGAACTCCTCTATTTCTCCCAAGGTAAAAGACCTTTCAAAGTAACAACTGGGTATCTTGAGGAACCAATTATCCTTATCTTACTTTTTAGTATTTTTTTTTCCCCTAGACCAGAAGTTTGTACTCAACTCTTATACTTAGCATAACTTATCTATTTCTTTAAGATCTTTTAATCCATTTTTTTCAACCTGGGGGCAGGTGAGGGGAGGTGGCAGCTACGGACCTGGCCATAGCAATTTTAGTGCATGAACTCCCCTGCAGTGAGGTGACGGTTGGATCTGAGCTCCTGAGTTATATGGGGAGTGTGCTGGAGGAGAACATCAGACGCAAAGGCTTATTCACTCTTCTGTGAACCAGTGGGTATTTACCAGGAAAATGGAAAGAATAAAGGCCCACATTTTTTTTTAACACTAGAAAGATATTCATTTCTGTTCACTTGCTTTACAAGAGTTTTCATAGAAATTATCTTCAACTCAGAAATGTTTTCTGAATAATAACCTGCATCTCGTAGGCTACAGTTCCTGCTGGTTTCCTCTTAACCTAGTGGCTCAAGGTTGTCATGGTGCTCTAAAAAGCCCAAGTATTAAGTCCTATAGAGACTGAGAAGTAGACTGAAGGATGTAACCAGCATTCTCTCTCTCTGCCTTAATTGAATACTGGGTCAGAAAAGTCTTCTTCTGGGATGCATTAAAGGACCGCCTCTAAAAGTTTCCCCCATGACATTATAAACAGCATCTGCCCCAGGCAGAAAGGAAAAATAAATGTATTATGTATTCATTAAGGTAAATTAACAAATTACTTGTTCCCTGGATAAGTGCGGCTTGTTTCCTAACGTTCTTGAGGTAGTCTGGGAAAAATCTGTTCTCTTCATTTTTATCTTTAAGGGGGAGAAAAAGACATTTCACAGACCTGCCTAATCAGGACCTTTCCCAGGAGCTGAGCCCAGGTGAGGCCTGACTCTCCTGGATATTTCACCTTCCTAAAAGGGAGCAGCAAGTGCGACACAGACCTCCTTGCAATTGTGTGGCAGAGGAACACGGTGGATTTTGTTTTGTTACGACCCAAAGTTGGACTTGAAATACGTAAAGCGAAACCTCATTGAAGTGTCCCCAGGGCTAACATATGTCACAGCCAGCAGGCTGCTGTGTTCTGTGGTAGAGGGTGGATTCCTTCTGGACCTAGAGAGCTCTGGGGTGTTTGAGCAACTGTTGCTTTCTTTGCCTTTGAGTGTGGACAACGTCTGTCTGTGTACACGAGAAGCAGCACTCGGCCCTCACGGTGGGCACAGAACATTTCTTCAGGGCTTTGAGTGTCTGGCAGAAACTGGCTGACAGCTTGTCCTTGGTGCAGGGCAAATCTGTAGAAGGAGGAAAAAGTAAAAAACAAACAAATAAACAAACAAACAAAAAATCCAAAGGTTATTCTTCACAGGTGAATGACACAACTTCTATTAATGTATGACTTGAAATGTCCACCAAGAAAGGATTCATAATAATTCATTACAGTAGCTGTTAGTCCCTGAACATTTTTTATGGATCAGGCACTGTGCCAAGTTTTATGTTACACTGAATTGTCAGCTCAATTCTTCATTTCTGTGCAGTGTTACACCTTTGACCTGGCTCTCTGGTGGGTGGGAAAATACTTTCTCACTCCTTGGCCTCAAGTTCAGTTACAGAACTTGCTTTGGATAAGGGATGTTAGTAGAAGTGATCCCTGATGCACCTGAGAATATGTTCAAGGATGAATTTCTCCAATGAGCTTCTGCTGTCAACATAAGAACTGGACTGGTGTAGCCACTGGACTAAGAGAGATGAAAGACGTATGAGAATACCTGGACCCAAACTACGGCTGGTCAAAACCAGGCTAGGAGAGCTGAACCCTAGCTGATATATGGATGCTAAGAAGAAAAATACATGACTAGCTTTTTTTTTTTTTTTTGTTTGTTTGTTTTTAGAGAGGTTTTTGCTATAGGGCGTGTGCGCTCGCCAGAAAGACACAGAGAGACAGAGAGACAGAAAGTGAGAAATGACCCCGCAGGGGAATGGTCACATCAAAATACCTTCTCCTCCATTCTCCTCTCAGGATCTTGGGCATGCATGCACACATGCCTGGCGTGAGTTTAAGTCACTGGGTCTGGGACTCGAACCGTGGTCGACTATATGGGAGTCTAGTGACATAGCCATTACACCAACTGCTGGTCCTCATGGCTGGTTTTAAGCCCTGGAGTATAGGAGTGTTTTGCTATGCACAGTTGTTATGGCAATAATTAATTGCAGTGTTTTACTTGTATCAGTTCACTTCATTTTTATAGCAGTATTAGGAAGTAAATATTTTTTTCATATCACAAGTGAGAAACGTAAATTTTATAAATAGTTAAGAATCTGTACAATATTATCTATCTGATAATTAGCATGGCCAGATCTAAACACAAGCAATTTTAATTCTAGCATTCATGCTTTGATCAATTATACTATTATTCAAAGCATCAAGCATTCAATGAGTCAACCAGTTAACCAATGCCTCCCAAGCACTGCTCAGTGAAGGGAAGGATATAGTTGTATGACATGTGGTCACTGCCCTCCAGAACTGTACCATGTAAGTGGACACAGGTGACATGCACACATAATCTCCATGGCAAGTACACAGTTACCTGGGTACTAATTCTTGTTCTACTCTAACTAGCTCTAGGTCAGTACGTCCCTTAATTTCCTTGGCCTTATTTTTCTCAGACATGAAAATTTTCTCAGACAGGGAGTTAGACTAGATGTTCAGGGACCACCCACACATACTAAATATGAGTGGTACTCAAATTGTGCTGGTCTATGAATTTCTGGTTTAGAAGGAATTCAATAGGCACAATTCAGAGTTTTCTTCTAGGAAGTGGTTAACTTTCTTTTTCCTTTATGGAGAAAAGACTTTAATAGTTCCGAAGAAAAGGACTTTCACAAACGGGCTGCTGTCCTTCAGAAAAGAACAGAGAGTAGCAGTAGAAATTGAAATACTATCATATTGACCCAAAAAGTATGACAGTATTTTTTTTCCCTTCTATCCTTTTTTCCCCCCAATTTCAAATAATAAAGGCAAAACAATGTGTTTTACTTCCTCAGAACTCATCATTGCCTTAATTCCCTTAATTTCAGAACTCATCATTGCCTTAATTCCCTTAATTATTTCTTTTTTTTTTTTTTGGTGGGAAATAAAAAAAGCCTCTCGTTAGCAACCAGAATCCCATTTTGTGCACAAGTCTATTTATTTATTTATTTATTTATTTATTTATTTATTTATTTATTTTTATTTCAATTTCTCTTATACATTCAATCACGTGTCGCTTAGCTTGTAAAGGGAATATTCCAACATAAATTTCCAGTTTGGAAAACTATACATGTTATCTTCAATAGATAATAACCCATTTCTTTTTCCCATAAATGTTTTGCTTCTCTATTTTTCTCCTTAACATCTTTCCTCAGACTTTCCTCCTTCTCCTACTCTCTTCCCACACTATATCTGGTATCTATAACCATTTTCTATATCCTCTCATCATACAGTTTTGGCCATAGAGTGCAAGACAGTTGGTGAATATTAAGTGGAGACATACAATGTCTCTCCTTCATAGCTGGCTTGCTCCATTCAGTAGTAAACCTTCCATATTCACCCGCTTTCTGTCAAAATCCAGGGTCTTCTTTTTGTGGCTGAGTAGTATTCCATGAAGTATATGGAATCTATTTCTCTGTTCATGGACATTTGGGTTGGTTCCATGTCTTAGCAATTGTGAATAATGCCACAATAAACATCAATGTGCAAGCACTTTTCTGACTATTTTTCCATCCTTTGGGTAGATACCAAGGAGTGGGATTGTTGGATCATATGGTAGTCTATTTGTAGATCTTTGAGGAATCTCCATATTGTTTTCCACAGTGGCTGGACCAATTTACATTCTCACCAGCAGTATAGGAGAGTTCCCCTTTCACCAAACCCTGGCCAGCACTTATTATTTTATTTTATTATTTTTTAATCTTAGTTATTCTGATTTGGGTTAGGTGGTATCTCATTGTGGTTTTGATCTCCATCTCCCTTATAATGAGGGATGTTGAGCATTTTTTCATATTCCTTTTGGCTATTCATATGTCTTCTTTAGAGATTACTTTTTTTCAACTCATTCTCCCATCTTTTAATTGGGTTGATTATATTTTTTTGGGGGAAAGCCACTTGAGTTCTCTGTATATGCTGGTTATCAGTCCCTTATCTGAAGCATAGTTTAGAAAAATATTTTTCCATTCTGAGGGCTGTCGATTCACACTACTTACTGTGTCTTGTGCACTAGTTTTAAGTGCACTTAGGAATAGGAATACATAATGCTCCTAGGACCCAAAACCTCAGTCTTTATTGCTGATTCTTTTCTTCAAGCCTCTTCTTTAAGTCTATTATAAAATTCAGTCTCTCCTAAAATCTTACAGAAAATTTTCTTGCATGCTCTCAAGTTTCAGAAAGAGAGTACATGTTCTACCAAGTATTTCTATCATGGATTGTCTCTGAGTACCTCACCTCCCACATCCCCACCAGAGCAGTGGGCATTTTCCACAGGGCCTGGGCTGCTATTTAAGCAAAGCGACCCAAATTATGAAACAGAAGAATAATAGGCTCCACTCAATATATACCAAATGTCTAAACTCTATGGCAGAAACTTAAAAAGTGGAAGAAATAAAGGTATGGAGAACAACTGTGGTTACTAGAGACAGTGTGGGAAGAGGATGAGAAATTGGGGAAAGTGAGAGGGAGGGAATTAAGGGGAAAAAGAAAGAAGCAAAACACTTACGGGATACAAAAATGAAAAGTTATCTGTTGATGATAATATATATGGTAATATGTTTGACTGAACCAATATACAATGCATTCATGATGGGAAAAATCATTTGATATGCTGTAATGATACATGGTGATCAAATGTAAAATGCAATCGTTTTTTTTTTAAAAAGAACAAGACAAGGTGTCTTTCTCAGGCTTCTGTCTGTGGAACAGGGCTCAACCTGGAAGCCCAGGAGTCAGATGGCTCCCCAGTTCCTAAACCAGCCTCTTCTGACGTGTATGTGGATGGTGAATGAGAAGATGCATCTGGAGGTGCTCTGTCCTGCACGATTTTCCTGCCATGAGTGTGCTGGGGCTGCTATAAGGAAGAAGACAAAGGCAATGTGAGGGCTCAGCCTGCAGCCTGCATCTTCCTCTTTGGACAATCTGGCCTGTGTGGATCACTTTGGTCTCTATTTCCAAACTTGCATTAGTACTGTACCGTGTGCTCCTATGTGGCACTGGACTCTCTTTGAACTATTTTATGAATGGAATACAAGCCTTTTTTGTTAAGGGCTAAAGTGTGATCTCTCTCAGGTTGTTTGCCATTTTAAAAAAGGCTGTAGGAGGCCCCCAAAGTTGCTAACCCTGTTGTAGGTTGAATTGTGTCTTCCAAAGTTTGTGTCCTCTGAGGTTGAAGTCTAACCCTTATTACATGTGAATGTGATTCTGATTTGAAAATAGTCTTGGCAGGTATCTTTATAATGTAAATTAAAATGAGGTCATTCTGAGGTAGGGTGGGCTGTTATTCCCACAGACTGGTGTCCTTAAGAAGAGTAGAGAGCGCTGGCTAGTGGCACAGCAGTAAAACGCAATGCTTTAGTGAGCCTGACCCACACAGGAAGGTTCTAGTCTCATGTCCAGAGACCTCCCTGAGGCAACAGGCACATGTGCACCCATGATCCAGGGCTGGCTGAATCTGAAAGTGGGTCACAACATTAAGACTCTTAGAGAGACTCTCTGTCTGTCTCTCTGACTCACAGAAGAAATAAACTTTTTTTAAGAGAAGAGACACAGAGACAGACATACATACATAGAAGAGAAAGTCATGTTAAGACACAGGCACAGAAGGAAGATATATTAAAGGAGATAGAGATGAGTTAAAGCATCATAAGCCAAGGAATGCCAACAGTTCTTGGCAACCAACAGAAGCTAGAAAGAGACCATGGTCCTGACAACATCTTGAACCTCTAGACACTAGAACTGTGACGGAATAAATTTCTGTTTAAAAGCATCCAGTTTAGTTCATGGTATTAGGCAGTTGGAAAAGTCAAGACATTTTCTATATGAAAATGTGTCATAAATTTTCAAAGAACCCAATAATTTCCTATGTTAACCCTAGGAAACTAATGCAACCCCATTCTCCATGACAACAATAGTAATAACAACATAGATTAATAAAAAAATTTATTAAGTATTTGCCATGTACTAGGCAATGTGCTTGATGTTTACTGTACCATCTGAATCTCACAGAAATGTACATGTAGGTGTGCCTATTTCCTAGTTTGAAAAACTGAGGCTTAGCAATGTAGCTAGTATAGAGACGATGCTGCTAGAATTTAAGGTTGTCTCCATACTTCTAAAGTTTTGCTTCCAAGGGAACAAATCACCTTACACTGGTGGTGGGCGAGGAAGGGCTCACACAGGCAGGTCTTCCCTACCCAGAACATCTCTATTTGCTCAACATAGGAGCTGCACTTGTCAGGTTCAGCCAATACCTAAATGACTGATAGAGATTCAGCCAATCCTTGTGCTCTTACCTGATCTTGGAGATCATGAGCCTTGCTTTTCAATGGTCCTCCAAGCCCTGGACACATGCTGGATCCTAGGATTCTACTGCTTGAGAGTAGGGAAATGGAAGGAAGAGTGGAGGACAGAGGTGGCCAGTACCGGGAGTCTGTTCTGGGCCTGTGTTTAGTAGCTCATTTAGACAACGATAGTGAGCTCAACATCGTGGCAGGGTTTAATTATACCAACTTTCTTTATTATTGTAAAACAATGAAGGCTTGTTGTGCTCATCAGTGAACTGGATCCCAGTCTCTAAGTATACACAATGCTTATAATTAGGGACAACTTACAGAGGAGGTTCCAATTTTCATCTGCCCATGCAGTGGAAACCATACTTAGAAATTTAAAGGGACAGTTATAAGCCTGTTCTCTTACTGTCAGTTGTGTCTAGGTTGAAGGGATAATAATATGTGGACCAATGAAAATTGTAAAATAATTTCAATGCTGTTGACAAATATAGTTTCTATAAGCATTTGGGAGTCTTCTGGCCAAGAACTGTGTCTTACTTATTCCTGTATTCTCAGCTTTTAACACTAACCTGAGACATATCTTGTGATCAATACTTGCTGAACAAATCAATAAATTAAATCCTACTCACTTGGAAAAATATTTCCCAATAGATAATTTACTGTCTCAAATATTCATATACAACAACATTGGATCTAAGTACTGTTCCTATTCTTTTTCTTGTCTTTTCTACTTCTTATTCTCCCAAATAAACAATAACAAAAACAAAATCACTACTCAGGAGTATATAAATAAGGATTTTGCTTTTGTTTTTGTTTTTAAATCAATATGAATATAATGCCTAGAACATAGCCAGTAGTAAAATACCTTTCTTAATTTGTTTTCATCCAGATACTACTTGGAAAAAGATTTATAGTCTTTACTATTGAAACTGCAGTTCCAATTTTAATTTTAAATAATTAAAAATTCAGCTGATACCTAAAAGAAAATCGCCTGGAGGAAAGCAAACCTTACATAATTTATACTTGATCTTACAAGATGGCCATAGGTTTATGTTTATTGTGATGGCTGGTTGGCAGGGACTTGGACATAGAAACATTTCTAAAGCATTTTAGAGCAAGAGTCTGGAAGGCCAAATATAAATATTGCCCTAGGTATCTACCTTTGGCATTTCAAGTAGGGCCAACAAAAGCCACCCTCAAATTCAAGCTGATCAGAAAGAAGCTACACATGATAATCATATCTAAAGCATATTCCCCACAGTGCTGAGGCAGATTTCTATCTGTTCTTCCTAGACTAAGATGCTTTCCCAAAGGCTTGGGAGAGACACGTCTACAAACATTAATCTTGCTGTAACAGACTGCTTTGGTCTGGTGATTGTGGGCAGCTCTTTATGTCCTGATCCTGGCATAACATCACCGGATAAATAGCAAGACCTTATTATCTACATTTAGGTTAAATTCAGACATTCTTTTATATTGACTTCAAGTCTCTTTTAGACAGACTTGTATTTAACCAATTACCAACCTAAGAATTTATAAATCTATCTATAACCTATAAGCCCCAACTTCCAGATGTCCCACCCTTTTGGGGCTTGGCCAATGAAGAGACTCCTCACACTGATTCACAACTTTATCTGTGTTTTCTGCTCTCAGAAGTGAGTAAAAGAACTGCTCCATCTGAGAATCTGAGGAAGAACTTTGTGCTTCTCCAGGCCTGGTCACTCAGAGTCATGCTTAGAATGTCATGTTAAGTATCATAGATACTTAACCAGATATTCCCAGATTGCTTATTTTCATCGCCAATACATTTGGATCAGGATTTCTAACCCAGGTCTCTTTCTGGCCTTCATATAAATGTAGCAAGCTAATTATAGGACATTTCTACTTAAATGATTTATAGATCCCTCAGAAAATATGTTCCAGAACTATTCCTTTCACTACTCCCAAGTCGACGTCTAAGCTCCCTCTTAGTAAAATGGTAGCTTCATCTACTTAGTTGCCCAAGTCAGAAATACAGGCATTAGGCTTCCTCTGCTTTACTCCAGCACAGAGTCCTATTATTCTCTTTTTCAGTAGCTCTTGAATCCACTTTCTCCTCTTTACTTGCTCTTCTACTGCCCAGCTGGTGCCATTTACATTTTTTGCTTGGGGTATAGTTGCAGCCTCCTGACTGGTCTATCTTTTCTATCTTCCACATTGTGGTCAGCTTGACTTTCTTACCTTCACTCCCCTGTTGAAGAAGGTTCAATGGCTCACTTCTGCCATATGGATAAAGTTCAGTCTCATTATCATGCTTCATAAGGCTGTTTATCTTCTAACTTCAGTCTCTCTCTCCAACCCTATCATTCCTAACCCCTCTTGAACTTGCATTGAGTTACATTTATATATTATACCATAGCCTTCCTTCCTTATTTCAGAAGCTAGAAGCTGTTCCTGGAATCTCTTGCCTAATCTTTCTACTCATCCTTCACTTCCTCTGAAGTTTTCCCTGCCTCCCCAGTTTCTCTGCCCTCCCCAAGTAGTCTCATAATAGCCTTTATTTCTCTTCTCAGTTTCTGCACTTACGTAGTTCTGTTTCTTGTGTGACATTGTGCCTGGCATATAATAAGTGCCCAACAACTTTGTAGTAAGCAACTCTTAGAAAAAAAATCTTCTCAGGATATTAACTCTAAGGGGGATCATTTCTGTTGGATGCCTGAGTACCTGGAAGGGGGCAACCACATAATTCACTGCCTTTCATCTTTAAGAATGTTTGGAAAAAGACAATTCCTAAGTAATACCAACATGCTGCATTTTCTGGAGCAGCATGACCATTTTATGTTAGTTCTTTAATTAGTGGCAGGGTAAATTCATCCTGATATTAAATCTCAATTACATCTCTTTGAGGCATCTTCCACTTTTAAGTAATGTAAGTAAAGTATTAAAAACATCCTTTCTCCTTGCCTGAGAACTTTCTCTCCATGATTTTTTTTTTTTTTTTTTTTTGCTATAGGACGCATGCGTTCACCAGAGAGACAAAGAGAAACACAGAGACAGAAAGCGAGAAATCACCCCCCAGGGGGATAGCCACGCCACAATCCCTTCTACTCCATTCTCCTCTCAGGATCTTGGGCATGCATGCACATGCGCCCTGCGTGAGTTTTAAGCCACTGGGTCTGGGACTCGAACCGCGGTTGACTACATGGGAGTTCAGCGACACAGCCATTACGCTAACTGCTGGTCCCTCTCCATGTTTTTAACTTTTAAAAAAGTGTACCCATCTATTTTTTTCCATGAACGAGAAAGAGAGTGCATGCTTTTTAAAATAGGGCCCTAATGCCATGATCCACCCCTAGCCATTAGCCAGCTCCAGATTATGGATAGACATATGTCCAGTATATTTGGGGAGAACTCCTGACTTGCACTGGAACTGGAAGCCTTCTATGTGGAATTGGCTCACAGAGTATCATGTTTACTGCTGCAGCACCATCACTCGCCCCCATGCTTTTAATTCAATTTCTAAATCTTGCTTGTCAATGAGTCCTAAATATCACAGTTCACAGATGAACTCACTCATTTCTGGATAAGGCAACTGTGTTTTATTGAGCTGAAGTAACTTCCAAGGGAAGTAATGAAGTTGTTTCATAATGAAGTATTTGTCTTTTAAGTGTACTTCATATATACATGTGTGATGATGTCAGTGTGAACATCCTTTGACACAGAAAATTAGATAAGATAATGCCTCAGCGGATTAGAGCAAACCAGACCAAATCAGAAAGCTTGCTTCTGGGGTGCTGACTGGCCTCTTTAGCATTAAGATTCTCTGTCCAGCAAAGAGGACATAAAACTATCCTCAAGTTGAATCATGTGAAGTGACTTATTTATGAAAAACACTGCTACTCCCCTAATTCCCATTCCATGGCCAATCCCCCTCACTCACCAGCACTCTTCCTGCAGGCCTGCTGGTTGCATTTTTGGATTTTGGAAGGTCTAGGTTCATGATCACACAGACACTGGTTTTGATCTTTAGTTTTATTGTTTTCCATGGGGACACAACGGACTGTCCTCTTCTGAGAACCACCTCCACAGGAAGTGGTGCACTGGAAAAGAGGAGCATACAGACAGAGTCAGAATTCTATCCCTGGACCACCAGTGGGACATTGCAGAGAACAAATTACTTCTGTCTTTCTAAGATTTCTGAGAGATATTCTGTCCTAATCAGGAACCTAGTCAAGTATGCATGGTCTTCTCTATAAGTCCAGTACCACTGTCTTGGTTATGTTCCCCAGAAATAGACTCTGGGGTGAAGGAGTGTGTGCAAAGGATGACTTAAAGAAGTGCTCCCAGTGAAGACCATGAAGAGAGTGGAGGAAGCAGGAGGGAAAGGGGAGGAGCCACAGCCAGTACGTCCTCTTAGATACCTGTAGTCCTGGCTTTACCTGATCCCACAAAGGAGTTTCAGAGTGTAAGTCATGCTACAGTTGTCCACTCTTAAGCCAGTAAGTGGGACTTTTACACTTGCACATGCTTCAGCCATTGGCCAACGACTGTCTTAGAGTAAATGAACTTGCAGGCATTGAAGGCTCTCTACGTGAGGAGACAAAGACACTCCTGCAAGCTGTGGGCAGTCCTCCCATTCCCCACCCTCACCTCCAATCCCTGACAACCATAATTACATTTTTTATCTCCATAAATTTGACTAGTGTAGGTACCTTATGTAAATACAAACCAGTATTTGTTCACTTGTAACTGGCGTATTTCAATTAGCATAATGTCTCTGAGTTTCATCCATGTTGTAGCATGTGCTAGAATTTCTTTTTAAGTTGGACTAATATTCTAGTGTATGTATATGCCACATTTTATTTATCCATTCATCAAGTGAACCTTTTGGTTACTGTAAACCCATGTACACTTATGTTTTACATTTTATAAAATGCTTTATTACTCTTAGCCTCATTTTTTTATTTGATCAAAACTTACCAGAGGGCAGAAACCAGTTCCTTTATCTTCATGCTTCATAGCACTTAGCATAACATTCTATAAATATTCACTGGTTGGCTGAAGAAGGCAGCTTGTTGCATAGAACATTCTGGAAAAATCACGAGGCTCAAAAGATCCTCTTTGCCATTTGAAATATTATTGGATACCCAACTCACTAGAATATGCACACTGGGACACCCGTGTCAATTTAGAATATTATTACCAAAACTCTGTTTCTTTCAGAAACTTCCCATACTACAGAATGGAAATGAAGGATTGTATTTTTTGGATCGTGATTGGCATGGGGCCTCATGTCTGTGTTATAAAGTCAGAGCTTTCTGTGATTAAACCTGAAGGTAATTTTATTCAGTGACTGTATCTCCAATTCTTCACAGATGTGAGCAAGAGACAAAGAATAAGATCTATGCAACTGATCTTGAGTAAATAAAAGTCTTCAACGGAGGACAGAGGGAAGAACAATGGAATTTAATCAAACCAGAACATGATTACTGGACCAGGATTTAGGAGACAGGGCTTTCTCACTTCACACAGTCCTGGGTCATTCATCTACCTTTCTCTTCCTTGATAAAATAAGGGTGTTACATAAAGGGGACCAGCAGGTGGCGTGGTGGTTAGCATACAGGACACTCCCACCAGGTCCAGGACCTGATGGCTTGCTTTCTCACTTTTCCTGTCTCTCTCTCTCTCTCTCTCTTTCTCTGTGTGTGTGTGTGTGTGTGTGTGTGTGTGTGTCTGGTCAAATTAAAATAAATGAATAAATAAAATTAAATTAAAAAATAATTCTTTAGAAAAAAATAGATTGTTACATAAAGACCAAATGACTTCCCTTCCTGCCTTCTGTAGGTTCTCTTGAGCAGGGAAAATTAGTATGAAAAAATTAATTCCAAGCCAAGCACATAAATAAGCATAGCCACTGTGTATTTACTAGCCAATTAAAATAATTTGTGATTAAGATGCATAAATTTGTGTTGTATTTAATTGCAAGTTTGGCAGGAAACATGGTTGCCAATTTGGATTTTAATTGTGTTAATGTTGTGAGTTCAGGGTTTTAGAGGGAAGGTATATTTCTTTTAAAACTCTAATCTATTCTTTTGGATCCAATAAAACAAGCAGTCTTTGTGCAGAACTGTGCACCTAATGGAGACAGGACTAAACCTGATTGTCTCCTAGCTATGGCTACTGACTTCATGAATTGCTCACATCTTAAACTAAACTTGATACTAGGTTCATACAGTCCCACACTCTTTGTTCAGCAAGACTAGAAGGCTTCTCTTTAGCTTAAAGCACCTCTTTGGAAAAGCTATCCTCAAAGTTCAGTAAATACTTGCTCAAGTACTTCAGCAAATACTTGCTCTATGATAAGCTACAAAAAAGGTATTTGAAGATCTAACTCTGTCATTATTACCAACATAGATCAAATGAAGATATATAAGGAAGAGAAACCATTTGATGGGATTTTTTTGTTTTTTGTCTTTTGGGTTTTTTTGAGAGGTTTTTGCTATAGGACGTGTGTGCTCTCCAGAAAGACAGAGAGAGACAGAGAGACAGAAAGTGAGAAATCACCCCCCAGGAGGATAGCCATGCTGCAATCGCTTCTCTTCCATTCTCCTCTCCAGCTCTTGGGCACGTACGCACATGCGCCTGGCATGAGTTTAAGCTGCGAGGTCTGGGACTCGAACTGTGGTTGACTACATGGGAGTCCAGCAACATAGCCATCACGCCAACTGCTCCCCCATTTGATGTTTTATAACTAAAACAAACATGTTCTCTGGACAATTTTCTTACATTTACTATTAAGCCCAGATGAGGTGGCATCCAGCCTCTTGGAAGCATAACCCAATAGCCTGCAGCTCATGCCCATGCTTCCTACCTCTCACTTCCTGATTCTGGGCTTTCTTGTTGCCAAGGAGACACGACACATGAAGGGACCTGTCCAACGCCTACACAAGGGCAATCCAGATGCATGGGGATAATAGCCTTCTAAGGGGAAACCCTTCACCCAAAGGGAGACAGGAGTCAGTTGCCAGTTTTCTCCTTTCCTTCTAGATAAACTGTCATAAGAGGTGAAAGTTCATATAATTGTTAGAACTGATTATTTCCATAAGAGCTAGCAATCAGCTGTTTTGACACCAAACAATGGTAAATCAGGTAAAATAATTAGTCCCATAATGCACCGCTTTGTATTTAATTCCCTTTCTTTTCTGCATCCTTTTATTTGTTTATTTATATTACTTCTGCTGCCCCTGCATTATATTTCCTAATAAAGTGTTATATTTTGCCTAAAGACTCTATTTTCCTGGCACCCAGGGCAAGTCCGAACGATGGTGAAATTTGCCTAAAGAAGAATTTTGCCTAAGGAAGTATTGTTGACATAGTGTTATTTATACAATAAAAATAAACTTAGGGAGACTAGTACATCATTCCTTCATTTGCAGTTTACTTTGTTTCTCTCTCCAAACAGGCTAGCCATCTAGAACGCAGATCTGCAGGTTAACCAGATAACTGAAACTCACTAAGTCTGACTAAGCCTACTAAGCCTAACAGTTCAGAATATAGGCAACTCCACTCTGCTCTAAGAAAAGCCAGAGGGTCCAAAGTCCTGGGGCTCAAAACATTCATTCCTTAGGCTTCATGCCTCTGGAATAATTTTCACATTTGATATTTTTTTGTCTGAACTTGAAATAGTAAACATTGGCCTATGGTAGCTATAGGTCAAATTTTAGCAGACTTATGGGTATTATATGGCAGAAGAGTATTTAACACACTGTAAATCAGTGACTACATTAGGGCTAGAGGGTGGTGCAGTAGTAATACAACTGGACTCACATGGGAAGGTCCCTAGTTTGTATTCTAGAACCCCTCTGTATGTGCCAGCTATGGGTGTGTCTGTCATCCAGGTTGGCTGAGTGGGGGCAAATTGTGGCATAAAGACCCTATTGTGGGTGCCTGTCTCCCTTAACCTCCTTCCCCTTTCCCATGGGAGAAATAAATAAAATGGACTTAAATAAAACTAATAAATGCATTGAATATTGACAATGAATATATATTACCTTTATGATCAAAAGAAAATGAATGTTATTTTCTTTTAAAGCTAAAGTAAAACAAAATGTGTCTGACCAACTCTTACCAGGTCCCAGTTCCCAGTGACCCAGTGACAGCAAAGGTGCGCGTTGCAGGGCATGGTGGACGTAGGCCTTTTTGTCCAGTCACAAAGTCCTCCTGGACAAGACACTCTTCTCTCCTGAATGCCACCTCCACAGGACCTGGAGCACTGATATACAACAGGGACAAGACCAGGGACAAATCAAGGGTGACATGTTCAACGATAAGGGAAACCTTTTTGCTATTATCTTTGTTGTGTACAGTATTATTAGGAATATTGGTAGCTGTGTTGAAATCTAAAGCATCTTTACAGGCTCCTTACAATGACCACTCTAATTTAAAACAACAGTGAAAAGAGAATTAAAGAGAGGGAGGGAGGTTGATGAAAAGCATTTTGAAGATAAGAAAAGTCAGAAGATGCTAAGTAGCTCCATGTCAAACAACATGATGAAAGGAATTAATTTGGTGAAAAATATAGGTAAAGGTCATTCCAGAATGGATGTTACGTTATCTGCATTTTTTCTTTCTGGCACAAGTGTCTAGAAACTCCAGTGTAAAATTTAGATATTTTTATTGTGATTAACTCGAGAGCTCAAAAGGGCTCTTGCAATACAATATTGTTTGCTTTCTATTAAAATGGGATCAGTCTTTTTTCTCAGTACGTAGAGTTTTAGAATTGAATTTGTCTGTGTTAGAAAGAGTAAAATTGATGGATTTTCTTAAGATTCTGATATATTGGTTGTAATGCTTACAAAACAGATTCCGTATGACAAGTTAGATTCCTGAAGGGATATAATCCTAAAGTAGCTCATATTTTTACTGGTTGGAAGAATTTTATTAGATGTATTATCTCATTTTTATGGGGTTTCTAGAATGAAATTAAATAATTCACTAAGAATCTTTGAAAAGTGCTTTCAGTACTTTGAAAGGCACGTTAAAAGACTTAGTTATACTATGGTTACAACAATAACAACAACAAAGTAGTTATGGTAGACTTCTCAACATCATGCCCATCAGATCATATCAGGCACTATATATGTGGTGGTACCATGTAAAATAGGAAATTGCATACTATTAACATGTTTGTTCAATGACAAAACTAATGTATTACCATCCAAATATTCTAGCTTTGAGAATTAACATGTATTTTTCCCCATTTATTTAATACGCTTTAATCTTACATGAGGAGAGGAGAGAAAGCCTGTTTTGGATCCTTGTACATATGTAGACACATGCATATAGCTTTAGAGTGACCTGGGCCAGTAATATCCAAGAAAATGGGATGAGGAAAGTATAGATCAGTGGTTCTCAAAATGTGGTCCTCTGAACAGCAATGTTAGCACCTTTAGGGTACTTGATAGAAATGCACATTTTCAGATACCATATCCCCCAGGGCCCTGAACTGGACACTCAAGGTCCCATTCCCATATTGATTTGTGAAAGCAAGAAATACACCCCCCCCAAGGGGGATGGCCACACCACAATCTCTTCTCATCTCCTCTTAAGACTTTGGGTACGCACACACATGTGCCTGACGTGAGTTTTAAGCCACCAGATCTGGGACTCAAACCATCATTGACTATATGGGAGTCCAGCAACATAACCATTACACCATCTGCTTGTCCTAGTATGCTAAAGTTTGACCTACCACTGGTTAGAGAGGACTGCAGTTAAAATGCATCTGCCATGCCA